GTCCAGGTCCATTTATAATGTCATGCTGTTCAGTTGCGTCACGCGATTCTTGTGTGTGCGGGCGCCCGTGTTCCCAGACTGACTGAGATTATCAATTATCCTTTGTTGAGTCGTGCAACTTGTGTAACTCGTGTAGTCACATTGCGTGACTGCTCGCCTTCGCCCATAAACGTGAGTGAATCAGCTGCGCGTATGTACTATTATGCGTGTAAATCACGATTTATCTTACCTGCACGCGCTCAATTTTTAATTTTATATAATAACCTTGCGATATAATTCGAGCGACGCGTGGCAAAGATGTGGATCTTTATCTTTTTGTCATTTTTTTTCAATGATGCCAATGATCTCGATATAGGTACGTACGTTATTTCACATCAAATGTAAAATATAGGAGATAAATATAAGGAGATAAAGATCTAATAATGAATAAATAATAATGATGAATAAAAATCGTGTACAATTTGACAAATCGAATATTAAGATGTTGATAATATATAATTTTATTATTAATTAAGTTTGCAATAATATAAAAAACCATTTTATAAAAGCCGTTAAGTAAAAATTTCATATTTTGATTGTTTTAAATATCGTGTTCGTAAGTCTATGACACGTTGTGTGTTTTTACTATGCATGAAATATCGCAAGATATACTTAAATATATATGTTAGAAATAACATTTTTAATAAAACATTTTTAGTAAATTAAAATATCATGTGAATAAAACCAGTACGATTGATATAACAAGCAACTACAAATAAAATAAAATTTATTAGAAATGCTTGTAAATAAAAACTTGATGAAAGCTTTCAGAAATAAGAGAAATGCTCTTACGGTCTTAAAAAAGAGTTTTTTATACATTTAATTAATTAAAAGTTATATTTGAAAAATGTATAAAATGTATAAAAAATTATAAAAATATGTTATAGTTATTAATGCAATAATATTATTTTGATTATTATTGTAATATATAATTATTAAATGTAAACAACCATTATGTAGATGTAAAAAATAATATTATTGGCTTATTATTCTATTAATATCAAGTTATTTTTCTGAGAAATCATTCTGAGAAATAATATTACAGAGAAAAGTGATCATGAAAAGAATTGTTTTCAAGAGTCTACGTAACATCGATACCTTTTACCAGTCGTTCGTTGCGCAATTGTAGAAACCATCGGGACGAAGCAAACACGCCCTTCGAGTCATCGATTCATACATTTACTTTGGACGGCAATGCTCGCTGTCGCATTTTCCGCCTCCTCGACCGGAAGCAGAGTTCATTTTGCTTGAGGCGTTAAAAATACGAGAGATAAAGCATCGAGAGTCGGTTTGAGATGAAAGGAATTTCAATTATTACCCGAGGCTTTATCTCGAAAAGCGAGATAAACTTTCATATTAAAAATATCACATCGAAATTTCGCGAGTTATAGATGCGAAAGTTAATCGAGCAAATAATGCAAAAGCCAACGTGGTGTTTCGATAACCAACGTAATTATCGATAGAAATAATAGTGTCTCTGGTAATATTGGAAAAGCTATGCATTTTATTGGATATGATTATCGAACATATAATGTGTTTTTGGAATAATAAGTTTTATTCCACTGCGCTTCATCGATAATCAAAAATATCCTCTTTAGAAATTGGAAATATATTTTATGTACAATCGTTGCATACGATCCGGGACAATTATTACGGCTGTCATTAACGTAATTACGTTAAAATCCTACTTATAAATAACCGAAAGCATTTATTTGTTATTTCTCATCAATCATGAACATCGTTATTTATGGCATTGCTTACTACATGATTTCCCATATTATCCTTCTCCATAGTATTCTTCTCGCAAAGTCATCGCGCTCGCAAAATTTGCCGGAAAGACGAAGTGACGTAGCTCGCTAAAACATCGATCTCGCGTACCGCCCTCGAGGGGTGCAGTGTGCTGGTCGCTTTACAGTTCACCAGGAATGACCGGAAGCGCTAGAAGCGCGATCCACTCTTTGAACGATGAGGGAGCAAAAAGTGAGAAAGAGCGGATAAGGATCGAGGATACCGAATCGTCGACGGGAAAGAATTCTCGATTAAATCTGGCGACCGGCGGCCCTTCGACGAAACCGACCGTATAAAATTCAATCTCGTTTTTTTATTTCTTTTTTTTATTTTTTCTCGCCTCTTCATCTCTATCCAGTCAATTTTCAATTATTCGATTTTCTCGCGGAAGCTCCTTTAAATCGTTTCATTAATAACATTGCTTGCGATTTTGTTTTCGCGGATTTGTAAAGCAATAGCTTCGAGATTTGCAAGCTAAGTTATATCTACATTCAAATATCGTTTTATTAATTTTTTATTGTTATATTATTAATAAAGATAATAAAATTATTAAATGCAGTTCAACAAAGAATGTATCTTTAAAATTAAAGGCCTCGTAACATTCTGTATATCCTATAGCTTATATAATTTATATAGGAGAATATAAAAGGATTTAGGATAATAAAATCTTCATGCATATTTCGTTACATTGCAATTGTTACATATCACGTAGATGATACGTGTGTACTGGCACCGATTTTTTTGCGACTTTGTTTACTCACGTTGGACTATGCGACTCGCGATTTTTTTTAGCAATAGTATTATCGTTTACCTCTTTCGAGTTCTGTTCGGTGTTTATCTTTTTTTTATTTTAGCAAGTCGTAATACATTATAAAATATTTAATGTCATCGACGAAAAAGATACTTAATTGAGCTACAATAAAAATTATATAATTACGGTATTGAATAATTTCAAAATAAAAATCGTATGATTTTTCAAAACCAAATACATGATTGTGCGAATGCAAACGAGCGTCTATTTTGCGTCTAAGATTGAAATATTATAGAGAAAATTTAAAAAAATATATTATTCATATTATATACATATATTATATTGTTAGTATTCATATTTATTATGGCATTATGTTGCGCGTTTTTTTCATGCATGCTCGCTTGAATTTTGATTACGCGATTAGATTTTTTTTCCGTATTTATATCGCCATTTATATTCCCTTCATAAATCGTTATATTATATCTCTTTCTAAAATTCAATAAACATGTCGTGAATTTCTTCCTGCGACAATTTCATAAATTTTTATTTTATGAAATAAATCTTCTTCATCTGTCGAGTAAAATTTGCTACACATATACTATACATATACAAGTGAAAATATATTTGATTTCTCTCGTTGTACATCTAGCATACAAATATATTGTGCATTTGTCACTTTGGAAATTTATTTAACTGATTGTTATTTTATGAAATGTATTAATCTTTTAATACGAGGAAGCGTTTACACCAGATGAAAACGGCAACGTTTGATTTATTACTTTACGTCTGTCCATGTAAATCAATTATCCTGTATCCTGAATTTATTACCTTACAAATTTACACGCGGCAAATTTTTATTTCGTGAAATAAAATTTTCCCATACATAACAATCGCCTAATTTCGATTATGGTAATGTTTGATCTATCTCAACGCACAAAATTATTCATGAATAGTGATAGCTGTGGAATAATGATGACGTAATCATTGGAATATCGAAACGTTGCCTCGGTCCGCAAGACCTCACGCGAATAAGCTCGCATTGTCGCCGTACAAAGGATACTATTCACCTGTCACGTTTCGTAGATTTCCCACGAGTTTCACGGACGTATAAAGCATCGAAAGACCCGAAACATTTTTCTTTCCGCGCACCATCATTACTTTCGTATTCGTGATTTTCTGCTCAGCGATGCATGGAGAATCTATCATCAAGAAAAATGCATCGTAAGGTGCGGACAAATCTCCGTTATAATCGGTCGATATTTCGCGATCGATCGCGTACACGTTTGTCAGCCTTGCCTTTTTTCGCGAATCCCATGGAGATCCTATTATTGCTCCGCCCTTTTGCAACGATGTGTCTTTTTGACGATCGCGATATCGAATAAAGACTAAAACGTGCGGAATACTTCTTCTCGTCGAAACGATTCTTGGAGAGCAACGAGGAGAAGTTTGGCAATTTCCAAAAATTCCGAAAAACTCTGATACGCAAATGTTGGGGGATAGTTTGACTCGAGCACGTGAATATTTTTTTGTTGCGAGTAAACTAACTTTTTCGATTTTTTAAAGTTATATCATACCTTCAAAAACGTGCATCGGACAAAACAATTAAATTTGTGAATAAATATTTTGTTGACGTAAAACTTCGATACCATGCAATAGTATATCTATCTTAACCCGTCCCGGATCTCTATATAAACTTGTTTTATTTCAAATCGTTCGATACATGGACAATATAATTGTAAGGTAAATTTGTTAATTCGAAATTCTCATCAATTGAAAAAGGAAAGGAGATTAAATAGATTTAATAAATTGTCAATTGCAAAGCACCATTTATAGCAATCTTAAACAATTGGTTAGAACTTTTCATTAGTTACGCAAGTTTCTGTGAAACAGACACTGTTTTTAATGTGTGTCATGTTATTTGGAGTGATCGATTGACTTGTATCAGTTCATCGTGATAAGTCGAACGCTTCGCTCGTTCATCCGATATCATAGTATGCACGCATCGAATGCGGCAGCGAAATTAACAATAAACGTGTCACGCGTGACGCGTATCAAACGTGGCTATTGCTGCTAAATGCCAGTTACACGTGTCACCGATATCGCAAAATTTCACTGAAAACGATCCGAGCAAAACATGATCCATCCGCAGTTTCATGCAGCTTTCAATGCCATAAAATCTGTTTTTCTTAAACTATAAAGTAACAGCACAATACGAGTCGTATTTTTCTAAAAAATAAAAGATGATGTGAGAAAAATGTTTGACATAAAATCCAGTTGCTTTTTGTGACCTTATAAGAGAAGATTTAAAACTCTTATATAAATTAATGATATACATTATACACGAAAATACGAGAGGAAGATATTTTTAAAGTAAATGTATACTTTTTCTTCCCTTTTATTAACAAAAATTGTTTGTTGACAGGATATCGCCTGAGAGTCGAACGAGACGCGAACCAGATTAGAATGGTTCGAGGGTGAAATCGCTGAAAAGACGTTCGTCAGTATGTTGCGGATATTGATAGTGGTGACGTGCATCAAGATATCGACGCTCGCCAGTGCACAGTCGAAAGGGACTACTTCCTTCGAAGATGCGAATAGCGACGAACCTGATCACCCAAGTGAGTACATGAATATTCTACAGAATTATCGTTCCACTCATAAGCCCGTAATGAGTAAGTGTAAAATTAGCTCGCTACGCGATAACCAAGTAATTTATTGTTTGACTTGTGTCAACGCGCTCGGTGTCGCGCAAACCAATTATTTAGAATAAACATACTTAGCGCAGTTTGACCGAGTTTCGAGCTACTTGGTCTGACTGAGTAATGGTCGGGTGGATATTGACAAATACAAGTCTGCTAACTAGTATCTAGTTACAACTCCCAGCTTAGCTCTGCTGCGCTCGTTGAAAAAACACGGATGGTTTAATATCATAGCGAATGGATTCATGAATCGGAGCAATCGCGGATAAATACAAACATTCCCGATTTGTCGGGAAAGCGAAAGCACACTTCCGCCTCGTTCGATTTGGTAAACGAATGTAATGCATGTCTCCCCTCCGGCATAAATAGATAAACACATATGTAGAGTGGGTTATGGATATGGAGAATGCGCCAGGGAAACAATTTGTTGAAATAACCGTGGGATCGTACGAGGCTGCTCCTTCCTTTCGCCTTTGCTCGTGTTGTGCAAATCGGCCGTTCGCGCAAACTACTCGCGCAAATTGCCGCGGAACTTTTTCCTGAATTTATTCGCCTACCGTTTATCGGGGGGGTGGGTATCAAGATTAACGTTGAAAGCCGATGAAGAAGAAGCGGGGAAGCAGCGGAAAGGAAGAAAGGGTGGATTCGCGCGCCAACTTTGACGATCAAGTTCCTCGAAACATATTGAGATCGCAATTACCGGTCGGTCCGCAGCGAGAGATTCGATGGCGAAAGTTGGGAAGATCGTGCAGCGAGAGAGACCCCCGGTCCCTTGAAAATTTCTATGCTTTACTCTCGCAGAGTTTTATCGAGAAGTTTGATGATCCCGACGACATACGAGTGACGTCCTCCTTTGGGAGGATGAAGGGAGGGAGGGGGAGGGTGGAATAACTTTACGTCCCTCGCTTTATGCCGCGCGTTCTCCAGAATACGCAGCTCTATCAATTTGCTTTGAGTCCTATGAATTTTTACGGATTTTTTTTTCATTTTTATCGACGTTATCAACCGACTCTTTATATCCTGTTTGGTTATCCACTTTGACCCGCATCCGCCATTTTATGTCTTCGAGCGTATTTTGCCCGGAGAAAGGAAACACGGTCTGCTTGTTATTTTGATTGTGTTTGGTGTATTTTTTGTAAATATTAAATATCGTTTCGAAGAGGCGTTTCTCTGTTTCACATATTCGCATGAATGTTTAATCGAGCTCTTTCGAGTTGAAAATATTAGAGTTCTTTAATAAAGTTCATAAAATAATTAGCCAGAACGAGAAGGCAACACCGACCGAATTATGGGATGTCGCATGTCGACTGGTTGGTAGTTTATACGGGAAAAACTCGGCGCACTTTATAAGTTCTCCGCACGGGGCCAAATTAATTAGATATGTATGAATAACCTGAGCGTCGGCCGGGAACATATAATTAATGCAGCCCACCGGGTTAGGTGAGAAATTAATTATAATATGGAAATTGGGGTTGTCCCGTATCTCTCCCCCTCTCTTTTTCTCACTTTCGCTCTCGCGTTCACTCTCTTCTTTTCCACCTCGGCATAAAACTCCGACCACGTGAGCTTTGCGCAGTAAAAGATTTCTCGACGCAGATGCACGTGCGAAACGTGCAGATGCAACCACGCACGTGTCTCGTGTAACGGCACATATGTGACGCGCAGTGCTTTCTTGCCGAATATATACAGGGTGTATCTTAAAAAGCTCTCCCATTAAGCAAATAGCGTTATTCCTGATTAAAAACTGAGTCGAAAAGTCCTGAACCATTTTTTTTTCCAAGATTCATTAAATAATTAATCAGATTTAAGTATTAAAAAGATTTCTGAAAAGATGAATTGTTTAAAAATTAACACAAAACAGTTTATTTTTTTGCTTTTATCCAAATCTTCATATGTTAATAACGAGGAAGTTTGTCTTTTTATTGGCGCGGCTTTACTCATTAATTATTGTTTTATTAAGCATTAGGAAAAAAATGGTTCAGGACTTTTCGACTCGGTTTTTAATCAGGAATAACGCTATTTGCTTAGTGGGAGCTTTTTAAGATACACCCTGTATATCTTGCCGTGAGAAGAAAATCTTTCTTATGTATGAGAAAACCATCAACTCTCTTTGGAAAAAATTTATCATTGCGCGTGACTCTTCACAAGTGTCAGTGGAGAATCTTATGCAGTTGTATGCAATCTTTTTTCTCGAAATTAATTTTATGCTTGGCTCTTCTATTGCGCTAAATGTATATTGATGTGACGTTAAAATTCGCATTTTCAGAAATATCGTTCTATTTTCCCTCTATATTTCATGCTTGCGAGATGAAAAATTGCATAAATATAAAAATTCAATTAAAAATATAAAAATATAAAAATTTAATTCCAGTATGCGCATAATTCTAAATTGAAGTGAAAACAGAATCGGGAATCGATAACGTAAGGATCCCACGTAATTGTACATTGTTCAAATAGCTATAGATAGATATCGCAGTTAAACGAAATCTAAGATCTCGTAGCACTTCTATGCTCTTACTTTTTCTATTACTTTGCAGATACGAACTTTGCGTTAGTGAATTTGGCGAATTTTGTACATTCTTGGGGAAGTGTTTGCTCTGCTACAAGCATTACGTGCTTTCTGTTTGTACAACATCGCGTTGGGTAGGTCAGTAACGGCGAGTGGGTCGATTCGCATTCCAGTTCCATGTCTGCACGTACGCTTTACACGATGACTTTCATCTCGAGTATGCTACTAAACGGGAAATTCGTGCAATATGCAAGAAAGTTATTCTCGCAAAGCATGTCAAAGTATAATATAATAAATTTGTATTGTACATTTTTATTAATTATTACAATCAATTTGCACTTGAGACAAAAAGAATGTAAGTCTAAGAATCAGAAATCACGGACGATTTTTAAGATTAAATATATATAAAAAATGACAAATTCACAAATGATTAATCTTTTTATAAAATTTGTTATATTGGTTACAACAATGTAACTGTTACTACCTTTTTCTTGTCAGATACGTTAATAAGTATGTATGCTTACATGTTTTTCGAATAACATGTTACATTGGCTACTTGAAAGAAAGCATGAAGTAATAACGATATCGAGAATGAATACAAGAATCGATACTGTATTAAACTGGGGATGGAAAAGAAGTTTTTGACCGCAATCGGTTTAGCTCGTCGGTTAACTACTGAGGTTAACGATAACCTTGTTCCACGATCGAGCCCACAGGACTTACTCTCACCAACAAGAAGCGAGTTTCGGGCGAAACAATTCCTCGAGACTACCTCGCCGAAGTTACAGTTTAACGATAATCTCGTTGACGAGAGTTCGGCATCCCTTATAGCGTTGAGCTTGACGATTTTTAAGGTTTGAAACCACAAGGCACAAGAGTGCGAAATCCTGAGCTCGTTAAAAAGTTCTCAGGTAGCTCATCGCGATTCGCGAACTTCGTTGTCCTCCTTGAAATATTTCATGATGATCTCGGAACCGTTAGTCTTTTAGTGTTTTTGGAAGAAAGAGAAAGAGAGAAAGAGAGAAAGAGAGAGAGAGAGAGAATGATAATTAGGTTTCTCATGTACATTTTTGAAGCTTCATGATTTGATGCTATGTTGCTACTTTATGTTATGGTTCAAAATAAAAGCATTAATAATTTGTGGTTTGATAAAATTGTAACATAATAAATTAACATACACAGTAAAAGATAAAATGTTAATTTTAACATTCTTTACATGTCCCAGAAAGTTCACTCTAAATTTTAAGTTAAAATAACTCATTCGTCGTATGTTACTTATTGACAAACTAAAAATGTTAAATAATTGACACAATACTTTACATTTATTTTTGTTATTGTGACTTTGAGTGTAATGTAAAAATAATATACAAATTAATTAAAAATTGTTGTAGGACATTAACATATAATAGTAATTATTTTAACTTCAATTATTTGTAATAGAAGCATTTGATTTTAGTAAATTGGATTATTTTGTACGTCAAAGTTCAAGATTATTTGAAGATTTACTTTAACTTTTTTTAGAATGTTAAACTGACTTTGACATGTTGTTTAAAATGGTTATGTTAAAAATACTCAAAATAATATTTCATTTCTAAGAGACATGTACAAAGTGTTAAGTTATGAAATTGATATAAATGTAACACATGAAAATGTTATAAAACTAATAACATATAAAAATATAATGTATATCATATATATATATATATATATATATATATATATATATATAATATATATCAATTTTACATTAAAGTATTAATCAAAACGTGGTGCACAAGAAAATTTTAATATAGGGACGCACAATTTTTTACTGTGTACACACAATGCAGTTTCTAAACTAAAATTATTAAGCAAAGTTTTGGAATGAAATAACGAACAAGGCTTTCTCTTTATTTTGCTTTTAGACGACAGACCATTTGCGCCTTGCAATTTGAATTTTTTTCTCTCTTAAACGCGAGGAGAGAATAGTTTTGTTCTAGAAGCTAGGTGAATTTTATAACGCAGCGATACGAGATCTCATTTTCATAGTTTGACTCTCGGGTGCGGAACTTACTCGATTAAGAGCTCGGTGCTCAGAGTTGCAAAAATGCATCGCATCGTTCGGTTCGCAAATCGAGGTCGCCGCGGTCAACGGGTGTCTCTCGCTCGTTAACGAGTTCGCGAGTTTGCCAAAGTCCCGTCTTGGGTACCCCCGACAACGAGTTGGGGATTCCGCTTAACTCGTTGCTTTGGTAAACTCAAGGACACTTTGTTAAGCTTAATCTCCTTTCACGGTTATTGGGTTCTGCTCTTTACAAACAAAGAGATGCGAGTCTGTTGAAGGGGGACTTAAATCCTTCGGGGCTAGATGTACCGGCGGTCATATTGCACAGAACCTCGCTGGAAAACTCGTTTCGCTTTTCATCAGTTT